TTGTATGTACCACAGCCACAAAACATTGAATCCACAGTGAACCTTGGTTGTAAACTCAACATAAAAAATTGTTGCACTTCATGCCCAAAATGCTAAATACAATCCCAAGAATTTTGCTGCAGTCATCACGAGAATAAGAGAGCCAAGGACCACTGCTCTTATTTTCAGTTCTGGGAAGACGTTGTGGAAAAGAGTGAACAGTGAAGAACAGTTCAGATTAGCATCCAAGAAATATACCAGTCGTACAAAAATTGGGCTTTCGAGCCAAGTTCTTGGATTTTAAGATTCAAAATATGGTGGGGAGCTGTAATGTGAAGTTTGTCATAAGATTAGAAGGGCTAGTACTGACACATGAACAATTTAGCAGTTATGAGCTAAAACTATTTCCTAGACCAATCTACAGCATGATCAAGGCCAGAATTGTCCTGCTTATTTTTGTTTTGGGAAAAGTTGTGTTAACTGGTGCTAAAGTAAGAGCAGAGATATACAAAGTATTTGAAAATATTTCCCCTATTCTAAAAGAATTCAGGAAAACAATATAACTGTTTTCTCACATTTGTATTTTTTTTACAAGTTGTCTTAGTACGTTACAAGGTGTTATTGCGTGTGGCACGAAAGTGAGACAGACTTTTAGTTGCAAACTGAAACAATAAGATACTTTTCTAGCACCATTTTCTGGCACTGTTGAAGAAACTGCATTATTTCTTAAAAAGAACATCTATGCAGCATTACTGTGAATTGCTTTTGTGGGGCTGTTTTGGAATAGCACTGTCCGTTTATTTAGATTTAGATTTTAAACATTTTTATCCTCAATTGTAATTCACAAGTTGGCTTAAAAGGCAAAAACTATGTTACTAAGTGTTAAAAACTACTTCCACTGTTGGGGGGTTTTGTTTTAAACTTTCATCCACAAACCACAATTTTTATATTTCTACCATAAAATGAAACCATTTTAAAAGTGCTTATTTCTGATTTATAACTTAAAAGTTATTTTATTTGTTATTGTTTTTGTTTTGTGCCACACATTCCCTTTCCAGTGTTGCAGGACAAATTAGATGAATTTGTAGAAAAAAGCTTGGTTATATATTTTCTTCTTTTGACATGAGAACTGTCATATTTCCTCAGAGCACTCTATACAATAAATGATGTTTATACAAAAAAAGAAATTATGAATACGAAAAATTCAGAGGAATTTTGGAAGATTTATATAAATTGTTGCAGAACAAAGTAAACAAGATCAGATAATAACTTATACATTGAACACAACAATGTAAAGAAAAACACTGGAAAGCTTCAGAACTCTGATTAATGATCTGATACTGAAGTATGCCTCCCTCCGCTTAGAAGAGATATGGTGGACTAGAGGGCATTTATTTTTGGATCTGGTTAATGTATTGATTTGTTTTCTTTGGGTTTACTTATTTGTAACAAAAGATAGTTATTCTGATAGGTAAGAGTTACTGAAAACCAATAAGAATATGGAGGGGGGAACAATGCACCAAAAAAGCATATTCAAAAAGCATATTCTTATATTCAAAAGAGAATCAAATTAACTGAAGATAGTTTCCAGTTAAGATAATAGAGTAAGAGTTTGCAAGGGAACCTGACTCCTCATGTGCCTCTATTTAAATAATAGAAAAAACTAATGACAAGAAAAAATGGCTTAAAACTATAAACAATAATAAAAATGATCCAAAAATAAAATGAGCAAATTGAGAAAGGAAAAATACTTCTTAATATTTGAACGACTAACACATTTTAAGTAACACAGATAAAAAAAGGAAATAGTGTAAGATATTCCAAGACATTAGGAAATAGAACAATTTAAGAATTCAAGGAAAAAAATTCATGTGAATAAAAATGATCACAAGAATAAGTAAAGGGGGGGTATAGGAAATGTAAAAACCATGAAAAATTAGAATTAAAAATGCTTGAGTATGGGAAAATAATGAAAGAAGATGGTTTTAAAGAAAGATGGAAAGAAACTATAGATTTAATCAATCAATTTAATTTAATCAATAATCAACTCTTGCCTACAAAAAAAAATTAGAGAAATTGGACCTGAATGAATTCAGTTTGGAAGAGAAGATTTTGGGGGATAGCCTATCAGGATATAGGAGTAATGGCAGGGTAGAAGGATGGAGGCAAATTAAAATAGGCCAAGTAGACAAAATCCAAAGATAAAGTTTGCCCTGTTCCTGAAAAATAGAGAATGTCTCGTTTTTTTATTCTTAGATCCTAGCTTGGAGACTGGCACTGAATAAGCACTTAATATGTGTTTATTGAAAGAACCAATTTTTTCTTCTAGGATCATAGATTTAGAGTTGGAAGTGACCTTGATTTATCAAGGCCAACCCTTTCATTTTGCAAATGGGCCCAAGAGTTTAAAGAGTTAAAACCAAGGCCCAAGGAGTTTAAATGATTTGCTCAGTCATCCAGATAGTAAATATCGAAGCAGAGATTTGAGACCACGTCCCTTGATACCAAAGCCTAATTTTCCTTCTTTTTCAGAAACTTTTATTGATTTTTTTAACTCCTGTGATTAAATTACTTCTCCAAGTAGTTATCTTTTAAACTCTCACGATTTGGAACTCAACTCTCCAACTCTAGCACATTCTTTGTAGAGCATTTATCCTTCCTTGAACACAGTAGCATCTCCTCAATAAAATGAAGGTGATAATAAAAATATTAAATAACTCATCCTGTCATGACCGTTTCAAGACTGTAAAGCACTTTCTATATCAACATTAGTTAACTTTAGAACTCTGGTAAGAAATCAGTGATACGAAATGAAATGCTGCATGTAAGGAGAAATTTCAACATGAGCACTTGCATACTGAAGTGATGTTCTCTATTGTCCAACCCAAATCAATAAAAAGAAGGGGAGGCATGGGTAGCAACCATTAAATAGCAACCAGAGAATAACATCTCAAGAAAAAAAAAAACACATGAAACAATAGTCAGCAGCATCTGGAACTGTTTCTGCATAGATTTTCTTAAAGCCATTTTCCTCCTCTGACTTAGAAAGACAGCTGCAAAGATTGTTTTACAAGTCTCATCTAGACCTGTGGATTTGGTTACCCATGAAGTCTGGCTCAGCCTCCTTCAGCAGTGTATCCATCCTCTCAAGTAATAATGGCCACCATAGTCCCTTTTCCCAGGAGATGAGATATAGTGGAAAGAGCACTGGACATGGAAGTCAGAGTACATGGGATTAAACCCTGGGTTTGCTGCTTACTTCCTCCCATTTAACACCTCTGGGCTCTGTTTCCTTATCCACAAAATGAGAGTGTCAAGATGACCTCTGAGGCTCAGGTCCAAATCAATGATGCTATGATCTTTCAGGTCATATTTGTTTCCTCTAATTACATTTCAACCACACAGCTGGCAAGGATTTGGCAGGCTCAGAGGGAAGAGGGGCAGTGTAATAGAAGACTTAAACTCAAATTCTTTCTCTAATGCTGACCACTTTACCTCAAGCAGGTTACTCCAGTGAGGCTCTCTGAGCCTTAGTTTCTTCCTTTACGCAAAAGACAGAGAAAGCATCTGTAAGTCAGTAAGTCCCAGGAAGATGGTTAAGGCACTTAGAAGTTAAACTACTTGTCCAGGGTCATGTGACTACTATTAGAGGTAGAATCAGAACCCAGTCTTCTTAAGTCCAAACCTAGAACTTAATCCCTCTGCTTGCACTCTCTCTTCCTCTCCTACTGTACGGGCCCTTTTCAGAATAAAGCTTTTAAATGCCTAAATTAAAATACATGGGATTACAAAGGAAAACAAAGGTTACTGAACATAAAGATGTATTTTTTTCTCAATCAGGTTCATGGACTCTATGGCATCTATTACTCCTGTTTTGAGTGATATTACAAGATTTTTTTTCCTTTTTTTTAAATTCAGGTCCCAAGACCATTCCTCCTGAAAATTTCAGCCCTAAGGGCTGAGAACTCTGTCATTGTCATCCAATTGCTGCTCAAACTGTTCTGACTCTCTACCTGAGTTGCTTTGCACAATTAACAGAGCACTAGGTCCTAAGCACCCTAAGGAAATTTCCTTTTTTATGCAAAGATAGCACACAGAACAATCACTGGGGGCGGAGCCAAAATGATGGAGTAGAGCAAGCACTCAGCTGAGCTTTTTCAACAATTCAAACAATTTTTAAAATAACACCTCAAATTGAACTCTGGAGTGGCAGAGCCAACAAAAGGTCTGAGTGAGACATTCTTTCAGCACAAGGCAACAATAGGAGATCAGAAAGAGAGATCTGTGACCTGGATGTGGAGGTTGGACTAGAACACACATAGATGAAACACCAGTGGTAGAACTACATGACAGAAGTAGCAGCAGCTTTAGGAACTCTCAAACAAGAGATAGTAAGGGTACCAAGTAACTGGTCGGATAAAGATTACAGAGTACGCATGTGCTAGCACTGGATGCAGGACCAGACTCTTTTGGCAACTCCATTGCCTACACCCATTTCTGAGTCATAGTTCAAGGGCAAAGAGGAATTCTGTCAAGAGTGAGCAGGGACACTGAAGAGCAATATCCCTTTCAGCACAAAGACCTTGAGGAATAGTACTGATTGTATACCCAAAGAAACAAGGACCCTGAGGAGTAGTATTGCTTCAGGTCCTAAGGGAGCAGGGGCCCTGAGAAAATGTATCAATTACAATCTCAAGAGATCATGTGCCCTTCCTGTGTAAAGACCAAAGCACAAACAAAAAGAGCAGTGACCACACATCTCCCCAGATCACACTACCTTGGAAACAACAAAAACTTCCAAATGCCAAGAACTAGACTAAAACCAGCAGAGCAAAATAGCCCGATGCTTAGGATAGTACTCCTCCCCCACCACATTGGGAATAGAGTCCAAATTTAAAGTAAATTCAAAGTCAAGAAATGATCTGGAAAATTGAGCAAGCAACAAAAAAAGAACTTGACCATAAAAAGATACTATGTTGACAGGGAAGATCAAACCACAAACTGAGAAGATGATAATGAAGTCAAAACAGCTACAAGAAAAACCTCAAAAAGAAATGTGAATTGGACACAAGCCCAACAATTCTTAGAAGAGCTAATTTTTTTTTCAAATTCAAATAAGAATGGTAGAGGAAAAACTAGGTGAAGAAATGTTAGCAAAGGAATAAAATTAAGAAAAGACAATTAATAGCCTCATAAAAGAGGTACCAAAAACACTGAAGAAAATGACACCTTAAAAAACAGAATTGGCCAAATGGAAAAAGAGGAACAAAAGCTCATTGAAAAAAAATAATTCCTTAGAAAGCAGAACTGGGCAAATGGAAATAAATGATTCCCTGATATATCTAGAAAAATAAAACAAAGTCAAAAATGAAAAAAGTGAAAGAAAACATGTAATATCTCAGAAGAGGAATAATTGACCTAGAAAATAGATCAAGGAGAAGTAATTTAGGAATTGTTTTGGATTACCTGAAAATCATGATCAAAGAAAGATCCTAGCTATCATATTTCAAGAAATTATGAAGAAAAAACTGTCATGATGTTTTAGATTCAGAGGGCAAAATAAAAACTAAAATAATCCACTTCCTAAAAGAGATTCCAAAATGAAAACTTTTAGGAATATTATAGTTAAGTTCCAGAACTCCCAGGACAAAGAGAAAATATTTCAAGCAGCCAGAAAAGAAGCCATTCAAATACCATACAGCCACAGTTAAGATCACACAAAGTTTAACAACTACCACATTAAAGAAACAGAGGGCTTGGAATATGATATTCTGGAAGTTAATAGAGCTCAGATTAGAGCCAAGAATAATTACCCAGCAAAACTGAATATAATCCATCAAAAATGGATATTTAATGAAAATTTTTCAGGCATTCCTAATGAAAAGACCATAGCTGAAAAGAAAATTTTACTTTGACATACAAGACTCAAGAGAAGCATAAAAATGGCAAACATGAAATAGAAATCATAAGGGTCTTAATAAATTTAAACTGTTTGCCTTTCTATATAGGATGATGATACATGTATCTTCTAAGAAATTTATCATTATTAGGTTAGTTAGAAAGGTTCTATATAAAAAGAAGGTGTAGGAGTAAGTTGATTATATTGGGATGATATTAAAAAAATCTATAGGCAGGAAAGGAAAATGCCCTGGGAGAAGAGGGAAGGGAGAGGAAGAATAGGAAAAATTGTTTCATATAAAAGAGATGTGCAAGAAAGAGCTTTTATAATGGAGGGGGAAATGATTTGGGGAGGACAATGTTTGAACCTCACTCATATCTAAATTATTTCAAAGACAGAAAAAAATACATAAACACACACATACACACACACACACACACACACACACACACACACACACACACATAATCAACTGATAAAAGAAATCTTCCCAACAGGGAAGTAGGAATGGAAGTGAATACAGGAAAGGGAGAGGTGGCAAAAGGGAGGACAGATAAAAGAAAGAGATCATCAGAAGCAAAACGGACTTTAGATGAATGACAGGATAAGAAGAGAGTAGAAATAGATCTAATTAAAAGGAATGAGGAGGAAAACTACATCTTGCTAAAAGGCACCATAGAAAATGAAGTGATATCAGTACTACACATATCTGTACCAAATAGCATAGCATCCAAATTCTTAAAGGAAAAGTTAAATGAATTGCAGAAGGAAATAGACAGACAGAGTCCTACCCAATTCCTTTTATGATACAAATGTAGTTTTGATACCTACACCAGGGAGGGCAAAAACAGAGCAAGAAAACTGTAGACCAATTTCCTTAATGAATACTAATGCAAAAAATTTAAATAAAATGCTAGCAAAGGGATTACAGCAATGTGTCAAAAAGATTATACACTATAACCAGGTGGAATTTATACCAGGGATGCAGGGCTAGTTGAATATTAAGAAAACTATAAGCATAATTGACCATATCAATAACAAAAACAACAAAAGTCACATAATTATATCAAGATGCAGAAAAAGCATTTGACAAAATACCACACCTATTCTTGTTAAAAGTACTAGAAAACATGAGAATCAATTTAAAATGATAAGTAGTAATCTATCTGAAACCAAGAGCAAGTATTATCTCTAATGGGAATAAAATTGAAGCCTTCCCAATCAGATCAGGGCAGATAGGTGGTGTAGTAAAGTGAATGTTGGACCTAGGGTCAGGAAGATTTGAGTTCAAATACATCCTCAGACATATACTAGGTGTGGGACCCTGGACAAGTCACTTAAACCTTTTTACTTCTGTTTCCTCATCTATAAAATGAACTGGAGAAGGAAATGGCAAGTATCTTTGCCAAGAATACCCCAGATAGGGTCATAAAGAGTTGGACACAATTGAAACAACTAAACACCAACCAAAAAGATGTCCATTATCGATATTATTATTCAATATCATACAGGAAATGCTAACTATAGCAATAAAACAAGTAAAAGAAAATGAGGAAATAAAAATAAGTAATAAGGAAACAAAACAAATTCTTTGCAGATAATATAATTATACACTTGGAGAACCCTAGAAAATCAACAAAAAAAAATTAGTGAAATAATTAACAACTTTAACAAAATTGCAAGATCTAAAATGGATTCAATAAATCATCAGAATTTCTATATACTACCAAAAAATCCAGCAGCAAGAGATAGAAAGAGAAATTCCACTTAAAATAATGACACACAATATAAAATTCTTTGGGGTCTACCTGCCAAAACAAACCCAGGGATCAAATGAACACATTTACAAAATATTTTTCACACAACTAAATAATTAGAAAAATATTAATTGTTCATGGGAAGACCAAGTCAATATAATAAAAATTACAATTGTACCTAAATTAATTTACTTATTCAGTGTCATACTAATCAAACTACCTAAGAACTAGGAAAAATAGTAACAAAATTAATGTGGAAGAACAAAAAGTCTAGAAAATCAACAGAATTCATGAAAAAAAAATGTTAAGGAGGTAGCCTACCAGAACTAGATTTCAAATTATATTACAAAGGGGTAATTATCAAAACAGTATGGTACTGGCTAAGAAATAGAGTGGTAGACCATCAGAATAGATTAGGTACACAATATACAGTAGTAAATGACCAGAAAAATCTAATTTGTGATAATCTCAAAGACCCAAGCTTTGAGGGTAAAAACTCAATAAACTTGCCTTTTGTATACCGTAACCAAACAATGAATTCCAAAGTGAAAGTATAAGAAAAGAAAAAGGAAAACATCTTCTCGGTAAATAAAGCAGATATAAACTTGGCAACCAAAATTCATAAGGAATTGGCACAATTTTAAGTAGTGCTCATTCCTCAAATAGACAAATGGTAAAGTGAGTCAAACTGGCAGTTTATGAACGATGAAACATAAATTGTTCATAACCACATGAACTCCTGCTCTTCTACTTACTTCACTGTGACCTTGGACCAGCCTTTTAATCTCTATAGGTCTCAGATTTCTCATCTCTAATATTAGAAGTTTAGACTTAATGAACTCTCTGGTTCCTTCTAGCATTATCATTCAAAGATTCTTTGAACACCATTCAAAATCTCTCATAATTAGAGAAATGTCCAAAACAACCTTGAGGTACTTATTTATGTCCACAAAGTTGGCATTAAGTTCAAAATGATAAAATTCAACCTTGCCATGCTCATTACAGAACAATTATAGTGATGGCAAAGTTGTTGCTCCTTATAATCTTTTTGGAAAGCAATCTGTTAATATGATAAATATTATAAAACCCGTCATATTTTTGACCCAGTGATCTTACTCCTAGGACTACATAACAAAAGAATAAGATTTAAAGGGGGGAAAATGATCTAACAATTAAAAAATCATAGAAGTTCTATTTTGATAACAAAAACTTGGAAATAATCCCTATGCATAGTGATTGTGAAAGGATTACATAAATAGGGGAAGTGAAACAGAATAATTGCCTAGTGGGAAAAAAATAAGAAAACATGGAAAGATTTCTATGAAGTGATGACAATGTACACACAGATATTGACCATATAAAATAATAACAATGGCAAAAATAATAATGTGGGGAAAAATTGGAAAAAGAGAGGCAAATATGATGATATTTTGTGAATGTAAATATATACATTCTAAACCAACAATAAATAGATTGGTGTTTATAGTGTTGGGTTTGATTTTGTTATTTATATTGTTAGTTTGTTTGAATTGTTGTTAGGTTTATTTAGGTTTTATTTAAATATTTTTAAAGTTAAATACTTTGTTTTTTCATTGAAGATATTTCTTAATTCTTTCCTTTGTACTGCCTTGGTATGTATTTGTTCATTGCTTTTTTCAAAAGCAGGTCATGTCAGGTATCATTGCTTCACTGTTTTTGACAACTGCTCTATTTCTGTATAGGTCAATACTATAGAAGAGAGAGCATTTCAGTACAAAAATATACAGAATTCAGAAATACTTGCTTATAATACAACTCTGAAAGTGTGATTATGTGTGTGTGATAAATGACTTGTCTAATGTTGGCTTCTTTCTCTAGCTGGCTCTATTTATTTCCTTTTGTTAAATTCCTCTGTTGGATTTCAGAGGTTATGCTTAGTTTGTATTTTTGAAAAAATGATAGGTGAGGAAGAAGATATAAGTTTGCTCAATGTCTCAGTCACACATAGTAAAGTTCTTATGCATTCATAAAACATCTATCTCTTTATAAAATTTTGCAGGAGAAAATAAAGTAGGATTGAGATATACTATCCCATAATCTATTAGTCTTAGGAACACAGACATGTAGCCTTAGGAGCTGTAGGTGGTGCAGTGGATGGAGCACTGGGCTTGAAATCAGGAAGACTCATGTTCTTGAGTTCAAATCTGGCCTCATACTAGCTATATGACCCTGGGCAAGTCACTTAACCCTGTTTACCTCAGTTCTTCATTTGTAAAAAATGAACTGGAAGGAAATGGCAACCCACTCCAATATCTTTGTCCAAAATGGAATCACAGAGTCTAAAATGACTGAACAATGACATGTAGCTTGATCAGCATAATTTGACAGGAGACTG